CAAACACGGATCATTTTACTCTGTTATAAGGGTTAAAACAACACATTGATTAAATTAGTTGATTGGAATAAACAGCCTATGAGGAACATTATGGCATATTATTCAAAGATACATCTGCCTCAGTTCTAACATTAAGAGATTGTCTTTTATTCATATGCATTAATGTTTCTAGAGATCTCTTTGTCTCTACAAAATTGTGCATCTGGAGGATGTGCCCAAGGCGAGCACATAACCAGGAGTCATTAAAAAAGTTTTGTGAAACGGTTTCCGCTGAAGATCCTGTAAGGGCCATTGTTTTTAATTTAACTGTTTTAATTAATCATTGGCTAGTTAGCCGAAGGGTACCAGAACATCTGCGGAGAAGTACTGGTCAGAGGAGCCCGAAATCAATTGGCGCTCTGTTATCCTGGTGGTATAAGCCCTCAAGCTAGTTCAATGAATGAGACAATTGGAGATACCCAAGATTCCAGATTTAACTTGTGTTGACCACTGCAATATGCCGATGAGTTCCTTCATATATATAGTATGTATATATAGTATATATATACCGTTTTTTTTATTTTTTATTATTTTAGTCTTATATACACTGTTCCATAGTTTTACATCACATACAGACATACATAAACTGTCAAACTGACAACTTAAAGTTGTTCTTGTTTTCAACCTCCTAAAATTTTGTTCTTCTCTCAGATTATACCCCCTTGACGTTCTTCAAAAAACTTTTGTATACATTTCGAAAGTATTTTATTCCCATAGCTTTAAACATGAATTGTGCTGTTTAACATTTAACCAAATCATTGAACTTAAGCATCTTTAATTTAAAAAATAAAGGATTTGTATGCTCCTCATACCCCACTTGTTCTATTAGTCTAATTACTTTTTTCTGCATTGTACTTATGGATTGTAAATTAGATTTATATGTATTCCCCCAAATTTCAGCACAATAACTTAAGTATGGCAACATAAGTGTGTTATATAATAAATACATTTATTTATTGTCCAGGATAAATCTTGCTTTATACACCATTGCAACAGTTTTTACTAATTTTGATATCACATTATTTGCGATTTTTAACCAATTTTATAATTCAATAAAACACCAAGAAATTTAATTGCATCCAATCTTTCTATAAACTTCCTTATCAATATGTAAATCTATATTATAACTACTTTTTAGTTTCCCAGATAACATAACCTTTGTTTTACTTATATTTAATAACAATTTGTTTACGTTAAACCATAATTTCAATTAATTAATTTCGGTTTTAATCAACTCCACAAGTTTTGGTAAATATGCCCAGAACAAAAACTGCTTGTATCATCTGCAAATAAAATAAACTTAAACAACTCTGATATCTTACACATATCATTAATGTAAATTATAAACAATATTGGACCTAAAACTGATCCTTGTGGTATGTCACAATTTGCATTTTAATATGACGATTTATGGTTGCCAATTTCCACAAACTGTTGCCTATTTTTTAAATAACTGCTTATCCAGTGCAAGGCTACTCCTCTAATACCATATCTTTCTAATTTATTTACCAATATATTATGATTTATTGTAAAAAAATGCCTTTTTTAAATCTATAAAAATTCCAACTACCTTCTCTTTTTTTATCTCTCTTATTAGTAATTTCCTTAATAATTTCTGTTAATCCAGAGATGTTGATCTATTTACCTGAAACCACATTGTTCATCAGCTAAAAGGTTATGCATTTCTATGAAATTATTAAGCCCGTCAACAAAGAGTTTTTCTAAATTTTTTAAAACTGAGATAATATAGAAACTGGCCTATAATTTGTAAAGTATTGTTTATCTCCAGATTTATAAAGTGGAATTACCTTTGCAATTTTCATTTTATTTGGAAATTTGCCAGACTGGAAAGATCTATTACAAATATAAGGTTAATGGTTCGACAATGTCTTCAATCACTTTCTTAATTATAGTCATATTAATATTATTCCAATCAATGGACGATTTGTACATTTCTTTACAATACCTATTATTTTCTTTTTATCTACTACTTTAACAAAAATAGAATTGGGATTTCTGTCAATCAAATCAATATCCACCCACTCTGTTTTTACTAAATCATTGATGTTTTTTATCCAATTTTGGTCCCACATTTGTAAAGAATTTATTGAAACACTTTACTATATCTGCTTAATTATTTATTTTATGGTCACTTTTAATGAAATAATTAGGATAATTTTTACTATAAGTTCCATTTCTTACAATTTTATTTAAAAGATTCCCTAAGCCTTTAAAATTATTTCTATTATTATCTAATATTTTATTGTAGTATTCCTTTTTACTTTTTCTTAAAATAGAAACTAATTCATTCTTATACTTTTAATATCTATTGTCAGCCTCTGGTGTTTGATGCTTGATAAATTGTCTGTAAAGTGTATTTTTCTTTTTGCATGCATTTAATAAACATTTTGTAATAAAAAGGAAGTACAGATATCAAATTAATCCCACCCATTAGGTTGCAGTAGGACACTGTCTTCATTCATTCAAATGAAGAAACTGAACAAAACATTAATCAACCAGTTAATAATAGTTGATAAATCTGATTTCATTTATAGACAGACAACATAATTAGGTATATGTGAGGATTTAATAAAGAATTTTACTTTTACATATAACAGATAATATAGATTTATACTCATAGCCGCATCAAAGCAAGAATAAATACATCATTAATTAAATTAAAATAAACTTAAGTGAAAAGGTTGCAAACATTTACTTTCTTTGATAAACAATAACGTATTCCTATTCTTAATAACTTAAACAATCATTTTCATTTTTCAAACTCAGAAAGCTGCTCAGTATTGAAGGAGAAACATTTGGACACATGCCCAATACTGTAATAGTCTTAAATCACAATGTGCAATGTTAACATTTTCAGTTTTAAATTTTCCAGAGAAGTCTCCCATTCATTCAGAGGTAGACCGGAACTAAAAATACACGGCTCTCCGGTAAAGTCTAGATCAAATACGCGGCTGGCCGGAAATGCGATATGCGTATTAATATAGCTGCATTTTTTAATGACATTGTATAACAATAATCAATATTTTTACAGTACTGTGATGGTTGAGTTTAGGGTAGGGCGGGGGTAGGAGTAAAAAAAATACAATTTGTTGTGTAATTTAATAGATAACATAAATAATACTTGGTATAACTACTGTTTTTACAGTGCTTTGACACAATCTACATTGTAAAAGCGCTATACAAATAAAGCTGAATTGAATTGAATTGTGACGGTTGAGTTTAGGGGGGGTACTTAATAATAATTAAAATATTTTAATAAATATTATAAATAATTCTCGTAAACTTCCGGCTGCAACCATATCTGATCTAGCAACAACCATTGCTGATAGGGGGAGTGACGTAATTGGGAAAAGGGTCTATTCGTGTATTTTTATTTGATACAATAGATGTATTAAAAAATAAAAATAAATCTCCATTCTACCAAAATTGGTATGGAAAAAGACATTGTATTAATTAGACAACTACTACATTTAAATGGTAATTTATTATCTTACATTGAATTTTTACATAAATTTGGTTTTCCAGTTACTCCAAATGAGCATGTTATTGTATTTGATGCCATATCTCAACAGCTTCTTCATTTTATAAAAGAGCATTGAAATAAATCTTTAGAAGGAAAATATGTTAAAGAAAACCTTTTTTAGGAAATATTGATATTATTAGAGTTATACTAATAAATATATTTTAAATATTATAACAGGTGATACAGTTATATATTAAAGTTTAAAATGGACAAATGTATTCATAAATTGGAACAAGACTTGGCGTTCTTATGAAATATATTGTATAAATAACAAAGTAAAATTAGTTACATTTAATATTTTACATTGTATATATCCAGCTTAAGAGGTTTTAGTGAGATTTAATTTGGATAATGATTATTCCTGTGATTTTTGTTGCATGGAAAAGGAGTCTATTGTCCATAAATTTTGTGATTGTATATGCACAAGGATTTTCTGGATGGATGTGGAAAAGTTTCTTAAAAATGAAAACAAATATTGTATTTAAGTTGCAAAAATTTGATATTTGCATTTGTTATGTCAATAAATGCTAAAATGCTAGTACAACTTTTTATTATTATGGGAAAGTTTCATATACATAAAAATACACTGGATCAAAGCCAAATTCTGTTCATTTCCTAATTAGAAAGACACTACAAGACTAAGCAGTAGTAGACTAAGGACTACTGCACAAGTTTGGAGAACATTATTAAAAAGCAAATAAGCAAACTTGCATTGTAAAAGCAAAGAAGACTTTGATTTTTAATTACTGTTTTTTTATGTACACTCAGGCATACATTTTAGTATATTACTGTACAATTCTATATTTTTGTTAATAGAAACAAATAAAAAAAATTATATTTGATACAAATATGATATCATACATACGTAAACATGCATAGAAAATGTACATTTGTTTAAAAATAAAGAAACTATCAAGGATTGAGATGCTGATGTTTCTTAAAAGTGTCATCACCGTCTTGGGAAAAAGGTTTATAAATTAAAAGAAACCAAACTTGCTGCTTTATACATTAAATAAGCATAAAATGTGTGTCAAAACATTAAATCTGTGATCTGTCTGGATATTTTCTTAGTATTAAAGGGATACTTCTCCTAAACCTGTAGCATTTACTAAACATTCACTTGTTCAAAACTTGTTGGAGTTTTTTCTGCTTCTGATATTTTGAAGAAAGCTGGAAACCTATGATCATTGACTTCCAAAGTCTTTGTTTCTCCAACTATGGAAGTCAAGGTTTTTTCAGCTTTCTTTAAAAATGGCTTCATTTGAGTTCAACAGAATAACAACTATGAGTAACTGATAACGGCAAAATATGTACCTAATGATGTACATAGCATTGACCACATGTGTTGAAGCACAGCAAAACGCAAAATAATCGGAACAGAGAAACATAACACACCGTAAACAATATATACACTTACCTTAATTAGATGAATAACCCCCGTAGGTAGAGATATTCATGCAGCGACAAGGTTTGGCGTCCATCATCAATTCTCTGTTGAGATTTAAATTCACTCTTCAACTGAACTCATATTAACCGCTGTGGGCGGGATATTTCCCAGCACGCTGATTGGCTGACCGTGGCTCAGCGAATGCCGATTGGCTGCCTGCATGTCAATCAGTCTCGGAAAAGAGAAAAGTCTGTAGTCTTTAGGTAAACTTAAAAGTTTTCCTGGACTGTGTTTATGCTAAATGCATGAGCCTTTCACACCACAATTAAAGTGAAAAGCCTCAGACTGAAGGAAATATACTTTTTACATCTGTGCTATTCTCGACTGCATGAGCAAAAGGACTCAGGAGAATAAAGTTCAACATCCTTCAGTCAGTGATGGATGGATGGACGGTCCGACGGATGGATAGATAGATAGATAGATAGATAGATAGATAGATAGATAGATAGATAGATAGATAGATAGATAGATAGATAGATAGATAGATAGATAGATAGATAGATAGATAGATAGATAGATAGATAGATAGATAGATAGATAGATAGATGATAGATAGATAGATAATATTCATTGTTTTGTATGTTTAAATCAGTTTAACCTTTCAGAAGATGGGAAACTAAACAGATATTGTGGTCACACTTTACAGTAAGGTTTCATTGGTTAATGTATTTACAAATTACGAACAACGCTTGTGCAGAATTTATTAATCATGGTTCACATTACTACTGCATTGTTAAAATTAAAATCATTGTTTGTTAACTTTGGTTAATGGACTGAGTTAACTTGAACTAACAATAAACAACTGTATTTTCATTATCTAACATTAAACATGAACCCTTACTGTTATAAATGTAGACTATTGCTCATTATTTGTGCAACATTATTCACAAATGTTTTGTAAAGTGTTACCATTATGTATGCATATAGTATATATATTTTTTTTAATTTATAGTTAAAAAGCAGGCCAATCATAACAAATATATATATATATATATATATATATATATATATATATATATATATATATATATATATATATATATATATATAAAGAGAGAGAGAGAGAGAGAGAGAGAGAGAGAGAGAGAGAGCAACAATACAGACTTTAAAAGCCATGTCAAATAATAATCAAATTTAATAAAAAGGCGAATTACAATATAAAATAAAAATGATAGCAAACATACCAAAATGAAATAAAATAAAATGTGCAAAATAGAAAGTGCTTTTCAGGTTTCTCATGTACTTTTACAATTTACATGTATGCTACATAAACTGAAAATAAATATAATATAACACTGCAAACTGTATAATCTATGTTTTCGTTAAAGGTAAACTATTATTGAGCTACAGCCTATATGCTATTAAGTCAAGTGCAAATTTATTTTAATATCTTTTGTTGCTTGGTAAATATTAAAAATACAGAGAGTAGGAATAAGATGTTTTTACTTTAAGACACAGCAGAGATGCAGCACAAGGAAGAAAGTTACAGACAACACAATTTCTGGAATTGAAGTCAGAATTATTAGTCCTCCTTTGATTTATCTATTTTTTAAATTAATTCCCAAATGATGTTTAACATAGCAAGGAAATTTTCACAGTATGTCTTATAATTTTTTTTCTTGTAGAGAAAGTCTTTTTTGTTTTATTTCGGCTAGAACAAAAGCAGTTATTGATTTTTTAAACACAATTTTAAGGTCAATATTATTGGCCCATTTAAGCTGTATTATTTTTTTACGATAGTCTACAGAACAAACCACCATTATACAATAACTTGCTTAATTACCATAACCTGCCTAGATAACATAATTAACCTAGTAAAGCCTTTAAATATCAATTTAAGCTGTAAATAAGCGTCTAAAAATATCTGGTCAAATATTATTTACTGTCATCATGGCAAAGATAAAAGAAATCAGTTATTAGAAATGAGTTATTTAAACTATTATGTTTAGAAATGTGTTGAGAAAATCTTCTCTCCGTTAAACAGAAATTGGGGTAAAAAATAAACAGGGAGGCTAATAATTCAGGGGGCTAATAATTCTGATTTCAACTTTATATAATGAGTTCAAGATACCGTCTGAAATTTCCATTGAAATGTAGCTTTTATCTCAGACTCCTATGTTTATGTGGGTTTTTTTATTTTAAAGACCTTTAAAAGTCTGCATTCATAAACTACAGACAGGAGCCTGATAAAATGCTCCTTTTTGAAGGACGTTTCATATGGCTTTTAGAGGTTTTTGCATCTGAACTCTTCACATAAATATAATCATGGTATGGCCACACATCTGATGAGGTTAGGCTACATGTTGGCACCAACAAATCTTGAGGTTGCAAACCTTTCTGTGACCTTTTCTGCATTCCTTTGCAAACTTAAAAAAACTCAAAGAGCAGAAGGTGGGAGACAGAAAACCCTCCCGTTTCTTCAGTCACCTCTTTATGCTTCAACTGACCTTTGCAGTATATCAACTGTAGGGATAGTATACAGTTTAACCCAAAGAATGACCAGTCTGTCAGATGAAGAAGAGCCGGAGTCAGAGATTTAAATAAACAAATCAAGTTTACTGAAGATAGTTTGCAGTTTCATCAGCAGAAGCCAGCTTCAACACTCTAATGAGTTCCTATAGGCCGCTCTGCTCACAATCACCAATCAATAACAATTATACTCTCATAACGTCATTAACTGCCTCATACATATAGGTGTTCTAACCTGATTGGTTAAAACAGATAGACTAGTTCCACATGGGGTTTGTGCGTATATTCTGAACAATATCTTAAGCATAAACGTCAGACATCCACTAGACTGTTTAGAGCTGACTCCAGACCTGTGAAACAGATCCATAATCAAATAGCATTATCAAATTATCAAAGCAATTATCAAAACTGGTTAAAAACTGGTATAATCTACATTCAGGCTGTTATAATCCTTACAACACAAAGTCTGTCTTGAATAAAAAGTAAAATCACTTTCAAATAATTAACCGTTAAATAAGCAAAATCACTTTAGACATTTTAGACAGCATTAAAAATAACAATAAACAGTTGCTTCCAGTCCTCAGCCCTCAGTTCAACTCAAGATCTCTGTGACCTCTGACCTAATTTGTTTGGCTCCTGAAAAGGTTACACAGACAGGCAAATGCACTTAAATATTAATTTAAATAATTATATTTAATAAAAATAATGAGTAACAAGATAATGAGGAAAGGATAAACATTGATTAATTAATGCGGTTACAATTAATCAATTAGGTTTGATCAAGCCTCAGGTCCACAGTCACGCAAAAAGTCTTTCTTTTGACACTAATTTAAGTTCGACAAGCAAATAAATTCAGTCGTCAATAGTGGTTTCTATTAATTTAAGGAACATTGCCAAATTGAAACCTTTTCTGTCCTCTAAAGAGCTGGAAACCATCATTAATGTTTTTATTATGTCCAGACTGGACTACTGTTACTCTTTGTATTCAGGAGTTTCGCAGGCACCAATTGCACGCCTGCAGCTGGTTCAAAATGGGACTTTTAACTGGGACAAAAAAAATTCTAGTATCTCACCAGTTTTATCATCTCTTCACTGGCTCCCAGTCCAATTTAGGATTCAATATAAGTTATTGCTATACTCCAGAAAAAACAAACAAAAAGCGCTCTGGGGTCAGCTCAAATATATAGTCTTTGGGTAAGGGATTCATCAAAACAGCAACAAGAATCCGTCCAAGGCACTCGAATAAAGTGAAAAAATTAAAGAGCCTTTATTCACATGGCTAAATCTCTAAAAACCAGAGATTTCCGAGATTTAGTTATGTGAATAAAGGCTTTTTAATTTTTTCACTTTATTCGAGTGCCTTGGACGGATTCTTGTTGCTGTTTTGATAAGTTATTGCTACTTGTTTTTAAAAGTTTGAATGGTCTGGCACTTATTTACATCTCTGAGCTCCCTCACTGGCACACTTTATTGAGGCCAATCAGGTCGGAAAACAAGTTTCAGCTAGTTATCCCCAAAACACAGTTGAAATGAAGAGGTGACAGGGCTTTTTCTGCTGCAGCCCCCCGACTGTGGAATGGTCTGCCTTTACAGATCAAGTCATGTGCTTCACTTGGTGCTTCTAAGTCTCATCTGAAAAATCACCTTCTGTCTCTTGCCTTTGATTTCAATTAATTGATTTTAATCTGTTTTATAAGTTTTGCTTAATTTTATATATAGGTATAGATTTTGTGTCCTGGTCTTTTTGTAAAGCACTTTGGTCAACATCTGTTGTTTTTAAATGTGCTCTTTAAATAAAACAAGCAAACAAACAAACAAACAAACAAACAAACAAACAAACAAACAAACATTCATGCTGAGATGGATTGGAAGGTATAAATCTGAATCGTTCACAACTGAGACACTGAAAACCCCTCAAATTCACTAAAACATATGTATAGTCTGGGTTTGCATTGTATATGCTTTGGACTATAGTGGAGTAGATATTTGTTTTAGTAGTCCTTCCAGGGCATCACATAAATGTATAAATGTCAGATTGCTTTGAATGAATAAGACAATAATGAAAATAATGGCTTAGAAATAAAAATTTAATGTTTATAAAATACATACTCATCGCTGGTCCCCCAATTTGCTAGAGCTCTATGCACTAACCCCCCTGATCACAATCCGTAGGTACATCTATAAATGCTAGATATAACTTTACTGCGCCAAAAGAAAGCCATATTTTAACAGTGTCCTAAAGCATTATTGACTTCTCTGGCCACACAACTGATGAGGTTAGACTACATGTTACTGTGAGGGGTATTACGCTTCATTTACATTGGCACCAACAAGTCTTAAGATTTCCGCGACCCTTTCTGCATACATTTGCAAACTTCTAAACACTCCAAGAGCAGATGTGGGAGACAGAGAACCCTCCTGTCACCTCCTGCATGCTTCAACTGGCCTTTGCAGTATATCAACTGAGACACTGAAAACCCCCAAATTCACTAAAAAGAATGTATAGCCTGTGTGTCTGCATTCTCTATACTCTGCACTATAGTGGAGTAGTAGATATTGATGTTTTAGTAGTCCTCTATTTAAATGTAAAAATG